AAATGATTACTTGTGCGATTGAGTGAATTTTGTTTTATGGCATGCGGTGTGTATATATGTTATACACCTATATCTAGTGTGTGTATAATATTGGTTGTGCTTGGCCATTTGCAATTTGAGTATGATCTTCGGGTTTAACCCGAAGTACTCACTAAGCATGTAGCTTATAGACGTTGTTATGCAACGTTTCAGGCTCGGAGCAGTTTTGGCAGCGACAGGACGAGGGTGTTGGTGACATGTGAGACTTTTCCGGATCATGTAATTTTCCTTTCTGGGACTTATGTTTGTTGGTATCGACGGTGTTTTGACTTAGTATTATATCATGTTCACCGTCTTTGGATTATGGTGTGTATACTACTATACGTGGATTTGTATTGTGTAAACTTATTTCCGCTGCGTAGGTATAATATAAAATGTTTTAAAATTTCCGCTATTTTGATACATGGTTTGAACGTCCATGTGGCGCAACTCGTGGGCGGGACACGGGTTACGGGCGGAACACGGGTTACGGGCGTCACAATGTGAATGAAGAGAACATCATTCTTTCATCTAAAAGGCCAAGAGTGATTCGGAAGATTGCTTCAAACGCTCCACCGTCAGAAACGGTAAAATTAAACTCAGATGGAAATTTTAAAGGAATTCCTAGTTCAGCTGCGGCTTTATTGCGAGTTCATTGGGGTAATTGGATTGGAGGATTTGTCTCGAATCTTGGTATATATATGGTTTTTCGAGCTGAAGCGTGGGGGGTTCTTATCAGGTTAAGGTTGGAGAAAATTTTTGGTGGAGATGGATAATCTTGCTCTTGTACAACTTATTCTCGACTCTGAAAACTATCGAACTGTGGGAGATTTCGGTGAAACATATATTTCGAGAAGACAATATTTGCGCTGATCATCTTGCTTCTATGGGGCACCAGTTACCGTTAGAGGTGACCTTGATAAGTATCCCACATCGGAAAAATAGAGAGATTTGGAGTCAATATATAAAGAATGGTCAAATCTCCACTCTTAAGTTAGCTTTTGTGGTGGAGTTAGGACCTAAACCTTATTACACCTACTTTGGTCGTCCTCCTCCGCTCCTTCTTTGATCTATAGGAGCAGGTAGAGTCGCGGTTACTACCCCTAGAAATTGTCCTAAGATTTCCCTTGTATCCAAAAAAAAAATTATCATTCTTTATTAACGTATAAATCTCGAGATTTTCTATGCTTTTATTGATAATTTTAAGAACGCCGATGTAAACTTTAACATGGCTGACCAAACGTGCGTACTGGTCGAGGCTAGATTTTATCGAGACGACCACCACCAAACCCTATACACCCTTTTTTTTTTATTTTTTTTTATCATGGATTTTACAAAATATGTTCCACAAAAAATAATTAGGATCTTATTACGAAACAATATTAATATTTATTATTAAAGTATCCGTTTTTAACAAAATAGAGTTGGAATAAAATCCGAAGCAAACTTGATATAAAAATATAAAATAATTAATTTTTTAAATGGAAAAACATTATTAAAAAATAATCGATAATTATTGAAACATGGACTAACGTTTCCTATTGGTTAAACTTATTGAATGAGATCAATTGAGAATCGCATTGAATTTTGCCCATAAACGGGCCATTAAGATCCCACAAACTAAAAGCCAAGATTTTTATGAAATTACAAATATTAAATGACAAGTCCCTCTTGGACAGATCTAACATTTAATATATCATATTTTAAAAGGCCCATAAATTTTAAATGCCTTCTACTCGCTAACACGAATAAGAACAGGAGAAGACACGAATATGCATGTTCGGAATTCTCAATAATTTTTTCAGAATAGGAAAATTACGGACAGACATTATTTGTTTCGGTTCAGAATCTTCGATTTTAATAAAGGTAATATTTAGTTGGTTAGTATGTTGAATTCTATTGGGTTCGACGTCTGTTTGGATTCGGTTTTCATCCATAATTATATTCATTGTCTAATGAAATTTTCGGTTTTGTTTAGGTTTTCAATTATTTTCATATTCATTTCGAACTCAAGTTCTTAAAAAATTTATATCCATTCGTTTTGCCATTAAATTTGATTCGGATACAGATATCTATACATTGTAATGACTAATCTTTATATTGTTTTGTCGGTCTAAAAAAGGAAAGTAACTTGAATAAACATTTATAACGATACAGTGTTAATTAGCATATTTTCTCTATCAGATCATAGATTATATGGCTTGCGATGACATAAATATATATTTCAATTGTGAAGGTTATTCATTCGATTGTGTTTAGATCATCGTTAAACCTAACTATGGAAGGCAGAATCTATGCGTGTGTATATCTGCTTCTAATGTGAAAGGCATCAACAATTGCTAAGGAGCTTTAATTAGCATTACAGCATATGGTCCGTATATGACGATAATATGCCAAGAATTTCTCCAAGGAATACAATATATATATATATATATATATATATATATGGGCAAACCAAATTAAGCCACGTAATTAAAAAGAATAAGTAGGTAAAGAAGTAAAAGCAAAGAGAATAAATGCAAAAGAATAGGATTCGACTCCACGATTTACTTGCCACTTAAGATTAAGATTCGTATCCGACCGGAGTTGATGGAGTTGTAGTTGATTGTGAAGAGTAGAGGTGATCTTGTTCCATATCCTATATGCGAGTGGTCGTTGGAGATGAGGTGTACAATTTAATTATGGTACACAGACGATATACAGACGGTATCCAGATCTTGAAAGATTTAGCTGGATCGAAAATTAAAAAAAATATATAATTTAGGGTGCGTCTGTGTATTTTTTTACCAATTTTTTTCTGATTATTGCTTTAATATATAATAACGTGTAGAATTTATCTGCCTTTTTCCTTCTCTGTCTTTGTAATAATTTTGGGTTTATTCCAATATTTAGAGAAAAAGAAAAACAGTGCACGAGAGATGCTATGAAATGGTTATATGCGTTTTTAATGAACACGATATTCTGATGATACATAGAATCATATCCTTAATTAATTCTATTATATATTTAATCACGTATTTATCGTCTCTTCGTCTAACTCGGTGCACAAGGAATGAGTATCGGCAAAGGATGCCAACGTTTTTTGTTTAAGATACGCTATTATATACATAAGATTTGCCGACCATACGATTTGATACATTTTTAATATATATATAGAGAGAGAGGGAGAGAGATGTGCATATGGTGAATTATGATGATTTGTGACGGAATGTGATGGATTAGCCGCCGACAAACGTTTTATAACAGCGTTGGCTGACCATCACATCCCATCGTAAATTGTTAATTTCGACGGATTTTTTTCATAGCGTACCGCCTCGGATCCGGAGAATCTTGTGTTTCATTACCCATATGTTGGAGGAGATGTCGGGAGCGGGCTCATTTACATGTTATTGGAGTCGCATGCCCCCGGTTACTTAATTAAAAGTATTTAATTTCAATATAAATTTTATAAAATCGTAAAAGAAGTTATAAATGCCCCATAGTAAATGTATCATAACAAAATTAATGTCCCCGATTTAAAATGATCATGGGTCTGCCACTAATTGTCATCTTCATCTCGATATCTCTATTTCGATGATGTATTTTATGTATCTTCCATATAGAATAATCTTATTTCAGCCCACAAATTGTGTGATGTTAATGATGTTATCGTCGAATTTTTGCCTTGTGGCTTTCAAATGAAGGATCAAAGCACGGATACCATTCTGCCATTGCAGAATAAGCGGAATCGACCAGACCCTCTAGTTCTACTAGAGTCTCTACTCCAACTTCTCAGAATTTCCAGGTAGCCATCAACAATTTTGAAATTTGAAGTGAAAAATAACACAAGGATACAAATCTTGAATTCATCTTTGATGGATACACAGATTTTAGATATCCGGCGGATACATCACGTGATTGGGTGTTCGAGGGTCAGGCGATGAGATATATATATATATATATATATATCCGAAGGCGATGGCAAGACGAGGAAACAGAGACCGACTCGAGAGAGGCGAAACTCGAGACGTGATGAGTTTTAGGGTAAAAAGAAAACCCTAATTACGGTTTTCGTAATTACGAAGAAAATCTGTGGTATTTTTGTATATCCAACTTCTATTTGAATGTTTATGGATTGCCCGATCAAGACCGACTAAACTTTAATTTGATTAATCGAATATTTACTCGTCCAACATTTATCTTATCCCCTGCGAAAGGAATGGTTATAAGCAAAAGAAGGCAATTGTTTTTGTTTTCATATGATAGGTTATAATATATTATCAGCATAAGATATGCCGACCACAAATACATATTTCAATGTTTTTTTTTTACATCAAAGTTTTATGTGGTTTCAAGAAGAGAATAATAGTCACGATTACAAAATACACGTGGAAAACCACTGATGCAAGGCTCTCCGGTAGGTAAGACCTAATTGCCCACGTGCTTCCAAACCATGCGGGCCTCCATCTCTATGCATGGCTTCTCAATCATCTATACGTTTATGTTGCAATTCCGATTTTACAGTTTTGCATGCATTTCGGTTCGGTTCGATTCGATTCATAAATACTAAGAACCAAATCTAAACCGAATATAAACCTTACGACATTGATTAATTTATGAGTGAACATTCTGTTTCCGTTTGATATATTTGGTTTTCTGTAATTGGGTTTGGGGAAAATACCCAAGATTTTTTCCATATGATTCAATATTCTCGGGATTTATAAAATTTGGGATTAAGGTGCTGACATTGTTATTGTATTTAGCTCAGTTATGAACCGAATACGACTTTGTTCACGATTGAATTTGGTTTTATTGATTCAATTCTTTTTTTCTTACTCTACCCTATATTTGTTGGTGTGATCTAACCGATAAAACTCAACCGAACCAAACCAAACCAAACCGAACCAAAATAAATTGATGTTAATGTTTTGCTTCATGATACTAACCAAACCGAAGCGTCCACTCTCTCTATGTGTATATATACAAGCTTCCACATATAATTTCTTGCCATCAACACCATTAATCTCGCTCTCTATATATATACACATACGTACTTATATAACACACACATCAGAGCAAGAACATTTGGAGAAAATGGTGCAGCAGCTGAGGAGATACGCACTGTTTCTGGCGACACCGGATTCGGAGTTCGTGAAGGAAATGTACGGAGGGTACTTCAACGTGTTCGTGTCCACGTACGGAGAAGAAGGAGACCAATGGGATCTCTACAGAGTGGTCGACGGAGAATTCCCGGACGAGAAAGAACTCGACAAGTACGAAGGTTTCGTCATCAGTGGAAGCTCGCATGACGCTTTCGGATCCGACGATTGGATCCTCAAGCTTTGCTCCCTTTGTCTGAAACTCGACCAGATGAAGAAGAAGATTCTCGGCATCTGCTTCGGTCTCCAGGTTTTATTATATGTCACTCGTCCAAGATTTTTCGTTGTTCATTTCTGATCATGCTACATAGAGTTATCGCGAAAAACGTGATCATATATATATACACACACACACCGAATCCGTGTGTTCATGCAGACAGATACGTACTAACGGTTTAAGCATGAAACCCTAAAGTTTGTGTAACTAGTTTGATTGATTGTAACCAGATAATAAGTAGAATAAGAGGTGGGAAAGTATATACATTATTTGTTTGTGTGTGTATATATATATGCCGAATCTGTATCTGTATTTTCATGCAGACTGATACGTACAAACAAACCCTAGAGTTCGTATAACAAGCGTGATTAAATGTAACCAGATAATAAGCAGAATAAGAGGAGGGAAAGTGGGAAGAGCTCGCCGAGGACCAGACATGGGACTTAGAGAGATAACCATAGCGAAGGATCTGATCAAACCAGGCGGTTACTTTGGCGAAGAGATTCCGACATCCTTGTCGATCATTAAATGCCACCAAGACGAAGTTCTCGAAGCTCCTGAATCTGCCAAAGTCGTCGGATATTCCGACAAGTACGATGTCGAGATGTTCTTCATCGAAGACCACATCTTCTGCATCCAGGGTCATCCCGAATACAACAAGGCGATTCTGTTCGAGATCATCGACCGTGTTCATCACCGTAAAATCATCGAGGTTCGTGTTTGTTATACATGTCGGGTGAATTCTCAATGCTCTTTTCATCTTCTTTTTCCATTTGCAGAAAGAGTTTGCTGATAAGGCAAAGGCTACAATGGAGAAGGCGGAACCAGACAGGAAGCGTTGGGAGACACTCTGCAAGAATTTCCTCAAAGGACGATCCGATTTAGTTTGATAATATTCTTAATCAATCTGTAATCATAATCATAAACGTAATATTTGTCGAATAATTGTATTTTTCTAGAATTCCATCCATATACGATCAAGCGAATGTCGTAACGTATTTTTACGTTGTAATAAAGATGAAAGTTCTTTACAAATCCAGAATCTTCAGCAGGGAAATCGGTTTCTGAAGTTTCCAGTTCTTTAAAAGACAATCCGACACTTACGTACAAATCTGTGTATATATATGTACGTATACACCGGACTATATATATATATAACTAAGCAGTGCAAAGGACAAGGATAATTCAGACAAGCAAGCAACCAAGAAAACGTCATAAAAAGATGGGATTTTTAACTCCAAAAATGTCGTTTAAGGGCAACATCTCAACCAAAGAGAAAATTGTCTTCACACACCGAAAAACGAACGATGAAGCATATGATGGAGCAAAAGACATTGAGCTTCTCTCTCTCTCTCTCTCTCTCTCTCTCTCTCTCTCTCTCTCTCTCACTTGAGGAGTGTCTTGACGATGGCTTTGACATTGAGCTTCTTCAGGTCGGTGTAAGACTGACCACAGCCGACGAACATGACCGGTGCCCCCGACACGTAAACCATCGACAACGCCGCTCCAACCTACGACATCATCCATCCAACCCATTTCCAGTTTCAGGCCATCATTCATATATATTATATACGCTATAACGATGTTAAATCTTTCGGGTCTTAGGGTTCAGATCGTTTTTATACCTTGTCGTCGATGGTGTCAAACTTTGTCAGTAGGATTCCATCTATCAATCTCGGGTTCGGAGAAGTGGAGAGATCCGACAGTTTCTGAGTTCACACAACAATACGGGCAAACATCTCTTGTTCACTTAACCATTTGTCTTGAGAGAATCTAATCTAATATCTTCAAAGAAAAAAAAACCGAACCTGGTTGAATTTGGAGAGCTGGTCAACAGCGTCGTTACCGACCAGAGCCTCTCCAACGAACAAGACCAGGTCGGGGTTGTTGAGGTTGATGAGCTTCGAGAGCGCTCTCATCAACGGTTCATTGTCCTGTGAAACAAAAAACATAACACAGAGTGAGTAACAGAAACAGAACTCGTCGGTACAAACTCGAGGATCCAAACTCATATGGACCTGCATCCGTCCAGCTGTGTCAACAAGAACAACGTCCGAGCCATTTCGGGTAGCCTCCTGGATGGCTTCTTTAGCAACTACTGCCGGATCCTTTTCGTAACCCTTCTCGAAAATCGGTATCTGCCAAAAATTTCCATTCCACAAATGTGAAATTTGCCGCCTTTCAGTATATATATATATAAACTACCACGAGTCAAATGATTATAATAACTATATGATGATAATATCGTAATACCTGCAATCTACGTGCGTGAGTTCGAAGCTGTTCAACCGCTCCTGAACGGAATGTGTCACAAGCAGCCATCATTACACTGACCTTGTGTTGCAAAAGCCAGTATGCAACCTTCACAAAATTTAACATGAAACATGAAATTAGCCTTCATATAGATGATTGATGGATGTAACCAAATCCAGAAAGGGTATTCAGAAAAAACGTAGGAAGGAATCAATAACCTTGGCAAGATTGGTCGATTTCCCGACCCCATTAACGCCCACAAACACAATCACGTATGGCTTTCTCTGTTCCTTGGAAGCATGCACATCTCTCAAGATATCAATTGAGCGTTTCGGAGTCAAGATACGAACCAAAGCTTCCTCCATAGCTGACTGAATTCGTGATTAAATGGTTTCGGTTTATAAGTTCATAGAGTCAGAATCATTTATATGTTTGAATTACAGTAGGATCAAAACTTCGTTAAAATTATTCTAGGATTGAGCACGGACCTGAACAGTTGAAGAGATCCTTGTGAATGAAGCCAACTTCTTGCCTTCAAGACTTGCCGCCACTGATTCACAAAGCTTCTCAGCTATCTCCTCGGCCTGTGAATATAAATTAACAATGAGACAGAACACATAACCGAAGCCAACACACGACATGAGTGAATAAGAACGTAAACTTACCACGTTCTTGGTCATCAGCCGATCCTTCAGAGCTTTCAGTGCTGGTTCAAGATCCACTCTTTCTAGATTTGCCTTCCCAGTGATGCTGGACACAGCCCAAAAGGATGCATGAGATCGAAAGACAGAAAATTAAGATCAGCTTAGCAAATAAATGGAAGAGAAAATAAAAACGATAGGTACCTCTGGAACACAGAAGAAAACCAGCCCTTTTTCTTAGCTTCTGGCCTCTCACCCCTCTCTGCACCATCATCATCATCGTCATCCTCAACCTCGCTATCACTGCTAACAATCTCTTCCTTATCCATCATACTTTCTCCTTGGTCTGCTGCAACTATGTCTACATGATCATGCCCATTCTCATTTACAGGATCTGTAAAATCCAATTTCTCTTGTGGAGCCGAATCATCCCATACCCTATTCTTCTTTGTAGCCTTTTTTTTGGTGTCCACGCCTGTCTTGGGACCCTTATTAGCGACTGTATCAGTTTTCTTTCCACCTTTGCTTCTTATTTTCTGTAGCTTACTTACATCAAACGCCCCGATGTTGGAGCTCGTGTTTTCTTTTCCGTTAGTAGAGTCTTTTTTCCTAGAATCCTCCACGGTATGAACACCATTGGAGTGACCATTTGCCAAGTTATCATTCTTGGCTTTATCATCATCCCCATCATCTTTTTTTGAACCACCTCCACTCGTTTTTCGGCTCCCTCCTTCAACAAGTCCAGCTTTTGGGATCTGCCCTTGATTCTTCCCATTGCCCGTAGGCTTTACCACCTGTTTCGTCTTCCTCAGCTCCTCAGCCCGAGCTTCTGCCTCCTTCCTAAGCTGTCTAAACGTCTCGTCGAAATCATCGTACGCTGTCCTTTTCGGATCATAAATTTCGGAGAAGCTTTGCTTCACCATGGAAAGTAATTCATCCACATAAAGCAGGTGGAGAATCTTCTGATAGACAGCAACGAAAACGAGCCCAAGCTCATTGTGGAACGTCCATTTCAGAGTGTAGGCAGCTCCCGGGGCATCGTAATTGAAAGAAACGGCACCAGATCGCTCCTCCAGGAGACAGGATCGGATCAAAGTGTCGATGGGTGATCCTTTCAGTGCATTACCGATCTCTTTGCATGTCCAAAGGATCAATCCTCCTCTGGTAAAGATCAGTAGCTGTTCTAACATCTTCGACCTTCAATTCGTACCCTGCAATTTTTATTTTCAATTCAAGATCGCAACAAACAACAACCCTAGAACGCGAAGACTTCAAAATCAAAATCTTGCATCGCAGAACAAGTATAAGCATCAAATTGGAAATCACCCACGTTATAGATGATTGCGATTAGCCCTAAAAGATCATTACATGCACAAACAAATACATGGAAGAAACAGAATCCGAATAGATTCAGGAATCCCCGATAAGCAAACGTAAGAAAGATAAGACATGCACACAAAAGATCTATACGAGAAACAAGCGCGGATTCAAATCTGAAACCCCATATTTTAAGATCGCCGACCTAAATCAGGATCAAACCAATTTCGGTACCCGAGATCCGCAATCAGAAAACCCCCCACGAAGACAATCCAGAGGGTTTCACGACAGGAGATAAACGTCAAACACGAGGACAGAATCCAAACCTTGATTCCTGTCTTCCCTTGATACGATGAACGAAAGGAGAGGGAGAGAAAAAAACGCTTTCAACGAAAAAAAAAAAAGGGAACAGAACCGTTGGAGAGAACAAAAAAAATCAAAATCGAAGTCCTTTGCAATGTTCCTCCGGATTTATACACATGCCTTTTACTCGGAAGATTTATTTCCTTTTAAACATGGGAAAAGTAAATAAATCCAAAATATGATGGGCTATTTCCAGGAACTGAGGGTACTTTCGGTATTTCATATTCTCAAATTCGGACGACATGAATGGACGGTGAGCAATAACGCCGTTTCCACCACCAACACACGACGGGGACTCTTAACGCGGCGGAGGACAAAACGCTGCGTTTGCGGTAATTTTCTCTGGGCTTTTTTTAAATTTCAGTGGCCCATGGGCCTTTTTGAGATTTATTAGGACCCAAGTCTCACAATAGACCCAATTATTATATACCACAATATTATGTGACGGTTGTATTAATTTCATTATAAAATAATCAAGTTGCTTTCAGCTTTATTTATTTATTTTATATATATTAGATAAAATCGGAATATTATTAACAAATTATTTCTACTACGCTTGTACGGTGTGGCAAGCTTTAAAAAAAAAATAATACTCCAATCCAGAGTCTAAATTTTGTTATCCGATCTCCATCCTAATTATTTTGGATATCCGAATTTTTTTATAAGGAGATCGGAACATGGTTTGAATAATCGGACAATTTGCACATCCTTACACGACATTATAGGTAATAAAAGTAATTAAGGTTTTCAAAAGTTGTTGTTATTCATTAAATATTAGTATTTTTAGCAGATTTCTAGTGATGATGACGACAACAATGACGCTACGATGAATAATATATTTTTTTTATAAGATACGATGAATAATATTAGTAAACAAGCATGAACCTTTTTATAACAAGATCCATATTAATATATTATATATCGCAATTTGTGGTGCCGTCAAACATGTGCGGCTTATACATAAACTATTCGTGAACGTACGTAAATCGCATGCCCTACTAATTATTCGGTTCGGCCACTATATTTAATGTTATTTCATTTTTTTTATTTTTATTTTTGTTGGTACGAATGGATGAGTATAAACACCGCATATTTGAGATCCCAACAGTTTGACCGAAATTAAATTAAATATAAAAAAAAAAAATCAGAATCTTGGACCGTCGAACTATTCACGAAGACAAGAGTGCAGTTAGGGTTTGATTAAGTTGCTTAACTAATCACATGCTTTTATCTACAGTTAAAAAGATCGCGCGACACGTAGATTCAATAACCGGAGATTTTTGCCGGCCGTCAAGTCGGATATTCAAAACTTGATTATTAAGAGATTTTTGGTTTGAGGTCAAATTTTATAGGCGAGATTTATAGTAAATCAAATTCGTTTATAATTTACAATTTCAAGATGGGGCATTTGCGAATATCCAAAAGATAGAGAATATCCTCGTTATTAGTATTATAAATATATACATTTAAATTTTTTAAAACCAAAACAAAAACATACCTTAGCAATTTTACGGATATCCATATGCGATCAGATTCCGAAACACTCCATTTGAGATATTCGGATTTGGGATTGAAAAATACCAAAATTTCATTTTGGTACTCGACTGCAGTTATAATATATATATATGGGTCTACGTTGTAAAAAGTGGGATCATAACCCCATTTAGTTAATTAAAAATATATTAATATCTTTGTAATTTTATAAAATTATAAATAATATTATCAAATTTCCCCGTAAAAAATTGTATCTATAAAATTATATATATATAATTATTGCTATATATATCCTCTTGAATTGTGTAAAATAGATGACTAAGGGACTAATTTAATATAAAAAAAATGAAAAAACCCCACCTTGAAATGGTTGGCATTAGTTAAGGCGAGGCAACGGTCTAATTGCTAAACCGGTGGTGCGGCAAAAGCAATCATCTTTCTTTAACCACTTGTTTGACCAATGGGGACAGCTCCCAACCCAAAAAACGTCATGACAAAAGCTTTGACCAAAATTCGCTTTTTTAATTGATATATATAGTTACTATTATTTGTTAATAATGATGTCAATACCCGGAATTATTATTTTTTTTAACAAACCACCACTTTTAGAATCGGTGGACCGACGATTTATGATTTTTGTGACTAATAATGTGATTATCATATACCATGGTACGTAATTCGTATTTCATGTACTCCTTAAAACGTATGTTTAATTATGACCAAAGTGACGACTTCCATAGGTTTCACCTTTGAAAATTGATTGTTGGAAGAACATTGGAAGCTTCGGATTCATACAGAGGGTTTCGAAATTCATCAATCTGCCTAAGATTTAGTTTTTTTCTCGTTATGAAATATCCGAGAACGAATTGAAAAGAATACTTTTTCAATTGGACAATTACCATTATCTCAATTTGAATTCGCATGGCTATATATATATATATATGTCCGTTAATTTCGTTTTGTTATGTTTCTATTCATATCTTTTCTTCGGATTTGGGTTCAATCACGTGGGTTTATCGCCAAGTCACAATATGCATTGTCTCCACTTACCATTTTAATTAATATGTCGTATATTTTTTTTTATTAATATGTCGTATTCTAGTGTATATATATATATATATATATATATATATACATATGTATATATAAAGACAAAGAAAAAAGATTTTGAATTCTTTTGGGATCATATGGTAGCAACTAGTCCAAGAGTAGTTCGACATATTGGTCAATATATATATATATATATATATATATATATATATATATAAATTTGCTCCTACCACCTTGACTTTGATGTCCACCTATGTTAATTGCCAATAATCAATCGACTTTTGCCTCAAAGTATCTTATTAAATTGGAATTATAAAATTATATATTAAGAGATGCTGACATGAATTAATGTTACAGATGATAGAATTCAGTAAATAATCGAACTCAAACTTATATATATGTATATGTATATTATAATATACATTTCATGGCATGAGAGGATGACGCATTGGGGGATGCATTTATGGCATTGCTTGCTTCTGCATGTAAGTCTATCTTCTCATTCAAGATCCAATTTACCTTCTAAGACCGGCAACATTTGTGTTCATACGATATAGTACAAACCCAAACAATATATATATGTGTGTATATATATATATATATTAATCCTTTAAAATTTTATAAAGAACGGTGCGATTAATTATGCGTATAAAGGTACATGCGCAATCATTTTCCAAGATAATTGTGAGACTATAATGATACTCATGCTACAACTGAAGTAAAATATATCAGTGCAGATATTGATATTTGATGAAACTGGTATTTGTATGAGCATATAACCGTATATATATAGATGTGTGTGTGTATAAGCCTATAAATTATAAGCATATGTATAGTCCCTCTACATATGTATATATATATATATATATATATGTAAATAAATATACATGAACGGGGAGAGAGGTCCACTCACAGCTGGCCAACCTGCACATAGTGTAATAACCCAGCAAAGACCATAAATAAGAACCTCCAAAACCCCATCCTTTAATCCACCCATCTCTCTCTCTCTCTCTCTATATATATATATATACATATACACACTCATACCTATCTATCTATCGATCTCTATATATATATATGAATGGGTGTGCATATATATATATCAAACCCCACCACCATACACATAGAACTACATCCTTCTCCATATCATAACCCCACGCCCCTCGCTCCCTCTGCTTGAAAACACAGTAAAAAAAGAGCAGAGAGAGAGAGAGAGAGAGAGAGAGAGGAGAAATGACAAGAACCCGTCTCTTTTTTCTCCTTGTGATTCTATCATCATCATCGTCGTCATCATCATCGTCGTCAAGACCATCAGTTCCAAAGCAGCAAGAGTTGGATAGAATCAAGGAGCTTCCAGGGCAACCAAAAGTCAAATTCTCGCAATTCTCAGGATATGTCACAGTCAATGAACGACACGGCCGAGCTCTCTTCTATTGGCTCACTGAGTCTTCCTCTTCTCCACACACCAAACCCCTCCTCCTATGGCTCAATGGAGGTCAGTCCCTATATATCCTCTTTTTCATATACTTATATATATATATATGTTACTTATCCACATTTGTTTTATATTATATATATATATATATGTGTGTGTGTGTGTGTATATATGCTTATCTTATGTTACCTATGCACATCTGTCATGAACTCATATGCTCATATATATTATCCACATATGTTACAACCTCTCTCTCTCTCTCTCTTCTCTCTCTCTGTGGGAAAAGAAAATATATAGAAAGCATATGCTTTTTTACATACATATAGATACGAAGATGCTTGACTCATTATTTTTCGCACTAAGAAACAGAGGGTATGATGAATAGAGAGACCAAAATAGCTCATGAACCAATTATGAAAGGATATCACGACAAATCTTTAAATAGTATATGTATGTATATGTGTGTATGTATATGTATTCAAAAATCAACGGAAAAGGACAATTTGTAAAAGCTTCTTCTCGTTAATAATTATTGTTCATTTGAATAAACAAAAAACCAAATGTACAACCAAAATAACATCAACCACCCCATCTGCCTCTCATAAATGAAACATGTAATATCTCATTTTTCATGTCTCTCTCAACCATTAAACGAGAGTCTATATATACATATATATATACACACACACTTGATTTTTTTACTCTTTTTGTGATTCCACGAGCTTCGGACATTGATCTCCGTGCCATCTACCCCCGAGTAAACCCTCATTTTCTGTCCCCCACCGCGCATGCTAGCAAAAACCCACTGTCACCACTAAAATACGCTAATCGAATTATGCTACGTACATAATATACCATGGGCATGATCCATACCACATCATTGTATAAAAACAGTTACCTGCTATATATGATTAACCTGACCATTTACGTGCATGTATATGTGTGTGCATATATATTGCATAATGCATGGTTGCATATATGATGTATACACATACACACACATTATAGATAGATTATGGACACGTTTTTGTACTGCATCGATCTGAAGGCAGAGAATAGAATCCACACATGTGACCTCGTGAAATATCTCTGTCCGTATCTTTATTTTATATTATTTTTATTTTTAACTCTACATTTTTATCTACGCCCCATAATTTCATTAATTACCATATATATATATATATATATATATATATATATATATTAAATTGGTAAAACGCAAATTAGCCCCAGGAACTAAATTGGTCCTCTTGTCACTTTCAGACGCAACTTGTTCTTTATGTGGATTTTTCTTTGTTCTTCTGTCTCTTCATGAATCATGAGTTTCAATAAGAGAAAAGTATGACAGAAAGGTGAAACGCCTTTCGCCTTTAGATTCACAAAACACAACCGGAAAAGGGCCCTACCACCCTTTTTTAAAATTTTATTTTATTTTCGAAACTCTTATTTTTCTTTTTTGCACATATTAAATCATATAATAGAAAATTCTGTATAATTAATATGAGAATTATAATTTAGAATTTCATATCCGGGTTTAGATATTAATCTTGTTTTAATGCCGATATTGATTAGTTTTGGTCATTAGTGTCATATGAAAAGATCAAAGACTAAAAATAAGACACACACACACACACACACATATGTATATAATAAGATAGGATTAAAATAATTCGATGGGGGCTTTGGTTGGTCGCATTAGAAGCATGCGGTGTTCATGGGGTGGGGGCCACTGGCTGATGGAGACGATTATGCTTATTGTTTTGTACGTATTGGCACGCGAGTCTCTGTGTGTATGTCTCTTTTAGGGTTTTCGAATTTATTTTTATTTTGATTTAATTATGAACAAAAATTATATATGATTTAAATGTCCTTTTGGTTACTGTTTGGACCCAGAAATTTAGGAGTAATCAAATATCCTTTTGATTATTTTTTGGCTTTTAATTAATCATTGGTAGGAAGAAAGGTGGAGCATGCACACACACACGGGGAAGCAAAGCAAACCCATTATACTCAGAATTTGTATTTAGTTTTAATTAGCAAATGAATATTTTCCTAGCAAAATCTAATAGAATATCAATTGAATAAATAACTGACCTAAAAAAATTAAATAAGTATATTTTTTTTTACAAAATTGAAAAATAAGGTAAAACAAAAAAGCAAACAATTAAGCAATAAGAATATATATATATATACTTTAATGGTCAAGATCATTATTTTGTTTCCTTTGTTGTGTTCGTGTTCGTACGATATATATTAAAGCGAATGAAATTACATATATATAGTTAGTAAACCAAACGATAATTATTTTGAATCAAAATGGCAGGGCCGGGGTGCTCGTCAATTGCTTATGGAGCTTCAGAGGAAATTGGACCGTTTAGGATTAACAAAACCGCTTCTTCTCTCTATCTAAATACCTTCTCCTGGAACAGAGGTAATTAATTATACACAATTATTATTATTATTATTATTATTAATGGTAGTTCGCGCGGTGACTAAATCTATTTGATTAATTGTATAAAAATTCAAAGAACACGAGGCATATATAGTCGTGTAATTGTATTTTAAAAATTATGGCTTGCATTTGTCCAAATCCTAAATATATATTGATAACGGGATTTTTTGAATCGAATTCTAGATTAATCTGAAATTTGAAAACGTTAAATTGATATATATTTTTCGTATACATTTATTGTTATTGTTCTTTTTTTAATACTTTTATTTTTTTCCTTGGTTGATAGAAGAGTATTGATTTGGCGATAAATCATAGTTAATTATTCATATAGAGCCTCTGAGAGTACCGTAATTATTTCATAGAATAATATTTTTCTTGGCTTCGTTTATTTGTTTTTTGAATCTGTAAATATTTTCATACGTCGATGCACATATTGTTTTTATTTTATTTTATTAGATTTATTAAACAACAAATTAAACTAAATCAAATTATAGAAAATCGAAAAAAGAACGATTCAATTTTAAACTCTATTTAGATCTATTCAGAAATAAAATGAAACCATTATCTTATATAGAATCTACATTTTTATTCTATACATCAAACAAATAAAAAAAAATTAACTCATGATATCTATATATTAATTAGTATATTTTTATGATCTATTAAAAATAATCTAACATGTTTTTTTAAAAAAATACAGAGGCAAATCTTTTATTTCTCGAGTCACCTTCTGGGGTGGGATTTTCCTATACAAACACAAGCTCCGACCTCAAAGATACCGGCGATGAACGAACTGGTTGGTACTCTTACTTTTTTTTTCTCAATGAATTTTTATTAATTAGTTTTTAAAATATGTTTATGTTTTATTGATTTATTATTGATTTCCTGATAAGATTATATTATACTATTAATGGTGATAGTTTTGATTTTGCTTTTTTTACTTTAGTTTTTGGTTTTTGGATTTAACTTTTGGTTTTTGTTTTTTTGTAATATTTGTAAATCCAAAAAAATGAAACTTTTGGTTTTTACTTGATTTTTCTCTAAAATAGTTTTTCAAATTTTTGGGTGATAGTAGAGTGAATTCTCTTGATTGCATTAGGTTAAGAATTGTACAAATATATACATACACGTATAGAGAATAAGGAAGAGATTCTAATAACAATCAGATCCTATAGCTAAGGAAGTTTCCTGATATACAAAGATATTATTCTCTAACACGTCCCCTCAAGATGGTGGACCGGAGGTGACGTGAATCTTGACACAAACAAAAAGTGAAATAACGTCCGAGGCAAAGGTTTGGTGAGAGCATCTGCGAGCTGATCTTTGGAGCTTACGTGGAGGACACGCAAGGTACCGGATTCCACTTGGCCCCGAACAAAGAGAAAGTCGAGAGCTAAATGTTTCATCCTAGAGTGAAACACGGGATTGGCGTTGTGATAGGTAGTTCCAATATTGTCGCAATAGATGATAGGGACCGATGAGAGTGTAATGCTGAGCTCCGATAGTAAGGATACAAGCCAACGAATTTCGGCAGAGGTGTTGGCAACCGACCGATACTCCGTCTCCGTTGAAGATCGAGAGTGACCTGGAAGCTTCTTAGAGGACAATCAAATAGGATGTTTCCCGAGGTAAACAACGAAAGCTCCCATAGATTTGAGATCGTCGGGATCACCCACCCAATCAGCATCACTACACGCATGTAATGCCATAGAGTTCTTGGACGAAAAGAAAATCCGCGTGTTACGAGTTCCAGAGAGATACCGTAGTACCCGCTTAGCTGCAGACCAATGAACATCAGTCGGAGAGTGCATCAACTGAGATAGCTTATTTATCGAGAAGCTGATGTCGGGTCGTGTGAGGGACAAGTATTGGAGACTTTCCACAAGTGTTCGAAACTCCGTGCCATCCGAGAGTGGTGAACCTGTCGCGAGTGTGAGCCTAGAGGTAGAGGACATCGGAGTTGCAACGGCTTTGAATCATGCATGTTGTTCCGGTGTAGAAGATCCGATATATATTTTCTTTGGCATAGAAACAACCCTTTTGTGGAACGAGTTGCTTCCACGCCAAGAAAGCACGATAGAGGACCGAGGTCCTTAAGAGAGAATCGATTGGCTAGGGCTGTGATGAACATGCTTGTTTCCGGTGACAATCAAATCGTCGACGTACACCAACACGTATATACATGTAGAGGCGGTACGGAGAATGAATAACGAAGCATCAACCATCGAATTTACGAAGCCCCGAGCCAAAAGAAAACCACGTAATTCAGAATACCAAGCCCTCGGTGCTTGTTTTAGTCCATATATGGCTTTTTGAAGTTTACACACAAAGAAAGGGCGATCCTTGTCCACAAACCCTAGAGGTTGGCTCATATAAACTTCATCCGACAATGTCCCTTGCAAAAAAGCATTGTTTACATCTAATTGATGAATATGCCAATCATGGGTCACCCGAGGCTGAGGACAAGCCGAATGGTCGGGGGTTTAACCACCAGGCTAAAGGTTTCGTGAAAGTCGATTCCTGGACATTGATGAAACCCCTTCGCCACAAGTTTTGCTTTGTACCGATCAAGAGATCCATCGGGGTTGGTTTTCGTTCGGAAAACCCACTTGCAACCAACGATGTTCATCTCCGAAGTGGATGGAACCAATTCCCAAGTGTTGTTGCGTACAAGTCATTGAAATCATCACTCATAGCCATGCGCCAATGGGGATCACGCAGGGCTTGAGCCACCGAGCTTGGTTCCCTGTCAACCTGCACAAGAGATGCAATTAGTGTAAGCTTGTTGACAGGTTTGCTGATGCGATTCTTTTCTCGGATCACCATCGGATGCATGTTCAGTACAGGAGCCAAAACAGATTCGGCGGAAGTCTGTGGAGCAGGTTGCGGTGGCGACAAAGACTCCGAGGTGGTGGGCATCTCCAGCACATGTATAAGTGAAGGATGTTTGCTCGCGGTGTCGTCCAACGATACTTGTGCAGTTGGTGGAGTGTACGAGTAAACTAGAGTAACCGAAAAGACTTTGAGTCAAGAGAGAGAGATTCAACGGAATATGAAGACGAGTTTCTGGAGAAACGGGAGAGATCCGAGAAGGGAAATATAGACTCATGAAATACCACATGTCGAGAGACATAGAGGCGTGAAGTTTTGAAGTCAAGATAAAAAAAAATGCACTTTGAGACGTAGAGTAACCGAGGAAGACACACGGGTTTGATTTTGGAGCAAGCTTGTGTGGTGAGTATGGACAAATCCATGTGTAACAAAAGCACCCGAAGCAACGGAATTTCTCATAGTTCGGTGACGAGTTAAAGAGAGACGAGAAGGGAGACTTCATAGACAATACGGGAGTGGGTAATCGGTTTATGAGGTAGGTTGCGGTTGTGAGAGCAAAGGATCAAAAGGACAAGGGTAGAGACGCATGATGGAGTAAAGATAGACCGGTTTCAACTATGTGTCAATGTTTTCGTTCGGAAATGCCATTATGCTCAGGAGTATGTGGGGGAGATGTGTAGTGAGAAATACCTTCAGACGTAAGAAAGGTCTTTATCGGTATAGAGAGAAAGAATTTTGGTAGAAAACTTGTTTTCGACGATATTTTGAAGAAAATAAAGATTTCACGGATTTGGGACTTTTGTTTGAGCGGATATAACCAAGAATAACGTGTGAAATGGTCAACAAAGAGTACATAATATTTGAAACCATCCATTGAAACAATCGACGATGTCCAAACATCGGAAAATATGAGTTCAAGAGAACGAGAAGAAGTAATAGTCGATTGATGAAAAGGAAGCTTACGACTTTACTTCTTGAACATGAGTCACACAACAAAAAAGTAGAATCCCGAGACAAAGGCAATTTGAACGAAGACACGACACTTAGAAGAATTGAAATAGAGGGATGACCTAAACGCGAATGCCACTCGGACAAAGTGGACTTTTGACTCGACAACACAATGGGACTCGACAAGGACGAGGAGATCGGCCATTCATAAACACTACCACTAGTTTTTCCATTGAGTATCGACGCCCCCGTGCTTAGATCCTTCACCTGAAACGAATACGGAAAGAATTCCATCGAAACATCGTTAGTCTTACAAAGTTGTGAGACCGAAACCAGATTCTTCTTCATTGAGGAAATGCACAACACGTTATCAAATGATAATGAACGAGTAGGATAGGCAAGAGATAAAGAACCGGTATCGGAGATCGGAAGTCCCGAGCCGTCGCCGATAATTACATCATCACCCCCGGTGTATGGATGATGAAGGGAGAGGTTGTTAAAATCCGAAGTTAAAAAAACTATGAATAACTCGCTATTCACCTAGGTACTCAGTCATAATCCTGATGTAGGAGAGATGGCCTCTTTTTCTCCGGAAGTTGACCCAGCTCACGTACCGCTTTAATGGGCGAACATCCCAAGGGTCTCTTAACACCCTCTTTTTTCTTCTCATGTGATGAGAAGCTCCACTATCCAGCAGCCATTGGGACGAGTCATACGAGGGCATGAATGTGATGAGCCCGGGTTTGCCAAGGGCGAGGTGAGGGTTGCCAAGGAGTCTGTGCCGGTTGTGCATGGCCCGGAGAATCAGAAGCCGAGATGAGGCAAAACTGAGAGCAACGTTGGGCACTATGGCCAAACACACCACAAGCTTGGCATTTCCCTCTTGATTGATTCCATTGCTGGCCGCGATGAGACTGTGACCACGATAAGGTGGTCGTGGGCATGAGTTTGCTACGTTGGCAGTGACCGAAAATGGTGTCGAGGACATTGTTGTTGCCACGCAAGCTTAGCTTCATGATGGAGTAGTTTTTCATGAAATTCTTCAATGGAGATTGCGACATCTTTGGCCTGCACGACGTCAACAACCGGCTTGTAGTCCTCCGGTAATCCACTGATGAGAGCAATCACAATATCCTCATGGTCGAGAGGTTTGCCAAGAATTGCTAGTTCATCGGCTTTGGTGGTGACATACCGTATGTATTCATCCACCGATTTCGTTCCTTTCACACAACGCTTGATTTGGTCTCGTAGTTGAAGGAGATGTCCTCTTGAGGGTTTGTCATAGATGTTGACAATTGTTTTCCCGAACTGATGTTGACCGAGCGACGAGAGGCTGCAAATTGAGGGAGATTGTGCCAAGGATTGCACTAAACAAGAGCCGATCTTGTTGTTTGAAGTTGATGAAGGCGGGGTTGTCTGTCAAAACGCCGACATTGTCGATCTTGGTCGGGGGGATGGTGGCATCGTCCGAGATGAAACAATCAAGCTTGTGGCCTTCAAGGAGTGACCGAATCTGAAGGCTCCACGTGATATAGTTGGTTGAGATCAATTTTATCACGTTGGTCATGTTTACGATGAGTAGGGTTTTTGATGGATTGCTTGCATCAAAGGTTGCGGCAGCTGCGTCAATACTGGTGCTGGTTTCATTGGTGGCCATTGGAATTTGGCTGGGGTTGATAGTCTGTGAGAAAGACGTCGTCGGTTTTAAAAAATAAAGAGGCGGCTAGGGTTGTCTTTAAACTAATGCCCTGGTACCATGATAGTAAAGTGAATTATCTTGATTGCATTAGGTTAAGAATTGTACAAATATATACAAACACGTTGAGAGAATAATGATAACATTCTAATAACAATCAGATCATATAGCTAAGGAAATTTTCTGATATACAAAGATATTATTCTCTAACATTGGGAACTAAGTTTAGAAAATCTTAATTGTTAATTTCTTTTGTTGATGGATTCTAAAAACTCTATCCATTTAACCCTAACATTTGTTTTCTTTTCTTTAATTTAATTTTTAATTTAATTTTTATTAATTATATTTTAAAAGATGTTTATGATTTATTGTTTTATATTATTGATATCTTGATAAGATTATATTATATGATGTAATAATATTGGTGTTATAGCTCAGGAGAATCTGATATTTCTTATCAAATGGATGTCGAGATTTCCCCAATACAAATACAGAGACTTCTACATTGCTGGTGAAAGCTATGCTGGTAAATTAAAATCACCCTTTTATTTAAAATTAGAAAATTATTTAACATGCATGGTAAGAATTTATTTTCCAAAAATATTTTTTTTATAAATTCATTTTGTCATTATTGATTTACAGGGCATTATGTTCCTCAGCTAGCTAAGAAGATCCACGACTACAACAAAGCTTTTACAAAACCCATCATCAATCTTAAAGGATTCATGGTAACATCATTATCACCTCCTAAACACGTTGGTTTCTGTTAGAAATATTTACTAATATATAAATATACATACACTTAAATTTGAGTCTAACACACACATATATATATATATATATATATATATATATATATATATAATAGTTTATGTCCAGGACTTTGGAGATTTGGTTGCATGTTAAATACTGTTATAACAAAACAAGTTATACACACGAATTTGAGTTTAATAAAGAAACTACTGAGAAAAGAAAAAAGAAAACTAACATAATATTTATATATATATGCATGTATACATATACATATACATATACATATATATATTTAATAGTTTTAACAAAAAAAAAGTACAAAAAAGAAAGAAATCTAACAAATATTTGTATATATATCTTTAATAGCATGAAGATAAGAAAGAGTTAATATGGCAGGTGGGGAACGCAGTGACGGACAATCACTACGACAGTATAGGAACAGTGACGTATTGGTGGACGCATGCTATGATCTCCGACCGAACCTACAAGTCCATCCTCAGCCACTGCAACTTCACCGCCGAGAAAGCTTCCGACCAATGCGACGAATCAGTCAACTACGCCATGAACCACGAGTTCGGCAACATCGATCAGTACAGTATCTATACTCCAACTTGTCTCTCCCACCATAACGAATCTAAGCCCGGGTTTGTGCGGATGAAGAACACTCTTCTACGTAGAAGGCTCGTCTCCGGATACGATCCTTGTACGGAGAGCTATGCTGAGAAGTACTATAATCGAGCCGATGTTCAGAGAGCTTTCCATGCCAATCTCACCCGCATTCCCTACAAATGGACTGCTTGCAGGTCCTTCCTTTTATTTTTCTCAGTCGCTTGGCTTAAATTATACAGTTTCACAGTCGTGTCCTAGGGTTGGACAAATATACCCAAAAACCCGGGTACCTGTCCCGACCCGTGAATCGAGTATCCAAATTTTGGATATTTGCCCAACAATGATGAGAACGGGATTTTCACGGGTCCAACTGACCCGACCCGTGAGTTGAGTATCTGATTCTCAGATATTCGACCAACAAGAACCTATGCCTACAGGTACAGTCGTGGGACTCGCCTAGAGTTAGGGTTAAATTTACGGTGAAGGGGCGAGGCGAGGAGAAGGGCGAGTATGAGAGAACAGATTTGTCGTTTGAAACTCGACTAGGGTTAGGGTTTACCTCGATAGCCGCATAACTCCCGGGTTTTGAGTATTCGGATATCTCGTAGATACCCAAATGATATAGATACAATGACGAATTCTGAAACCCAAAAGACACGAAATTGATGTCAACATACTCCCAAAGTCACGGTGGAAACTCTAACATCAGTTAAAAGAAAAGAACCCTTTTGAGATTAAAAACAGATTGATATATAAAATATATGTTTCAGGTTTGCTTTGTAATCTGCGTCGGTGATAGGATTTTGTATACTAATTTCAGTAATTTGTGTTTTTCTTTGGATGGAGCAGTGATGTTCTGATAAAGAACTGGAGAGATTCCGACAGTTCAGTGTTGCCCATTTACAAGGAACTCATAACAGCTGGTCTGAGAATCTGGGTCTTCAGGTAAATAAATATTATTATCATTATCCACCCACGTATACTCTTAATGATCTGATTACGTGGTTATAATCAAGTTTTTGTTAATCTATTACACCTATAATTTTTTTTAAAAAAAATGAAAGAGAGATTTACACTAATTGGTACCTAACCACCACTTTGTGCATATTTTATACGGTGATACAGTGGTGACACTGACTCGGTGGTTCCGGTGACTGCGACTCGGTTCTCACTGAGTCATCTCAACCTCCCCGTCAAAACTCGCTGGTACCCTTGGTACTCCGGCAAACAGGTATGCATGCATACCATACACATGCACATATAGATGCATATATATATATATATATATATATGCATATGCATGTAACCATACATACAGATAAACCACGACACCCTAACAATCCAAATCCAACAACCAGAGTTTTACCCTCCAAACAGAGGCATGTTTGGGATTTGAACAACTTTGATCTCTCATCTTTTATAAAATGAAACCAGAGTTCCTACATATATGAGCATATATACTCACCTACAACTACAAGTGTGTCTGTATATATTAACGTTGAAGAGGAAATAGAACGGCAAATGCAGAAGCCTGAATTCAGTGATGGTGTCTGGTAATTACAGGTAGCAGGATGGACAGAGGAGTATAAAGGACTGACCTTTGCGACAGTGAGAGGAGCCGGGCACGAAGTACCATTGTTCCAGCCGAAGCGTGCTCTTGTTCTTTTCAGATCGTTCTTGGCGGGAAAAAAGCTCCCGAAATCTTCTTAGTCAGCAACCGAAAGTGGAACCAACACAAGACAAGAGATGGATAGTTTCTAATTTCTATTTGTCCTCCCGGATAAATTTGGAGGAGGGTTCCAAGAATTGAGCATAAGCTACCACATTAGGAACAATTCGAGCAAACTCGAATTATTTTCTTTTTCATTGAAAGAAATTTGTTGGCATTCACAGTCAGGGACTAAAATTGATTTGGAATCATTCTTGTATTCAAGGAGAATTTCCAGTACAACAAGAACTGTTGATATTCCTGATCATATTCAGAAAATTAAAATTGCCCGGGACAAGAATTTGCTTTGATTTTTTTTCTGATTCCACGAGAGCAGAGTACATGCCCTAGGCTTCTGTCTGCCTGACATAAAAAACTGAACCTCTTGTACCTTGGAAGTCGAGTGAGAGAGCAACAGTAGTTTACTTTAATCCTTCACTGAGGCCCGGTGGCATGCCTAAACTCTGAGCAAGATCACTCATTCTTTCTTTCATGGCCTGTGAAATCAAGAATGTATTAGAAGGGATAAAAAAGAGAATTATGTAGATGTATTGTGAAATATGGCACACCTGGACACTCTTTGCATGTGCATCCTTGTATGCTTCTGTGACCAATAGAGAAAGTTTCTACAAGAGGAAATGCTCTGATCAACAAAAGAAGAGCTGAAGGAATGATCGAAGCTATAAATTGGCTAAAAGCAAGCACATGAGAACAGAGGTGGCTACTCACTTCAGGACCTAATGCCATGGCTGCCTCAGTGATGTCAGTACGAACCGGTTGCTGGTTGCCTGATAATGTAACCTGAAATGAAATTGAAATTCTGAATAGAGGAACTCGATAAACAAACTCCCTTGAAAAAATAGACTAAAAAGAAACAGATTCAAGGATTGAGTCTGACTGGATCCTAAGGATAATTGATATTTCACTAAGGCGGTATTTAGAAATATTTAAAATTGTTGCTAGAGAAGACAATTGCATGAAAAGCGAGTGTTATATTGCCTCTATCAATAGACAGAAAGAGCTATTACCTTTACAAGCTCGCCTTCACAGTAACCATCGAACTCTGCTCTGAAAAGTGGAATAAGACCAACATGAAACTCATACATATAGAAGAAACTTTAAATTTACCAATTTGTGTGGTTAATGAAACGTACACAGCTAGCTCTTTCTGAACTCGTACCGCCTCAACCTGGACAACCATCTGGGCTTTCTTTACAGTCTCGTAGAGATTCTGCATATTGCCCAGAATTCCAGCCTGGAAAAAATCGAAACAAGAAAAGAAAACTTATAAGAACCAAAAGATTTCACAATGGCAACTTTATTATACTGTAAAGTGTAAATGATGCAACTTGCAAAGTTGCAAAAGGCAATGATTCTTGTGGAAAAAATGAGCAAACAGATAAAACAAGCAAAACATTTCAATCTTATATTGCAAAGTTGCATATACACGAAGCAGTTTCATATCTAAAACATAAAGTTAAGAACCTTCGAAGGCGCATCATCACTCTTCTCACCGTTGTCCTTCTTCCCACCTCCGAATAATCCATTAACACGAAGAGGCCGGTAACCATTTCCACACTTCTGCTGATTTGACCACGTTACATTCTGCTTGTTACGGAGACGTGCATTCAAATTTGCACTTCCTGAAATCAACGGGAAGACACCCACGAGTTCATAAAAACAGAAAAACCCTAATGCTAAAACATAAGTAAAGGAAAATGTGTATACAAGGAATTCAAAATCCCAATCCCGAAAACCTTTGAAACGTTGTCAAAGACAGGAAATTCAATCAGTAAACCCTAATTCCCATTTAACCGCTGGAAGGCTAAATTTCAACAACTGTACTGAGTTAAACCTCGAAACTCGATCGTTATACTTCCATGACGGGTCTGAAACCCCAAAATTTGAATTTCAGCATTTAATTTCCAAATATGAGAAAAATCAAGATAAAACCAAATGCATAGATAACGCATACACAGGGACGTATACACGCGCACACACAAGCACAAATTTACTTGCATGAGGCGAGTAAGAGGGACAGACCTCGGGAGAAAGGAGAGAGGAAAGGTTTCGCGAAATCTGTGGTAGCAGTCGTCGACGCCATGGTTCTCCGTCCACAGGAGAGAGAAGATAAACTGGGGAGATTCTTTTCGTATTTTTTTCTTTTTAATTTCAGCTCGATGTGTTTAACTTTACGGATTTAAACCAATAAGATGTCACCACGTCATCATATACCGTACAAAGATTTTGGGCTCCTTGAGTGAGTTTATTGGGCTGTAAAAAATCTTCATGGCCTTTATATATATGGGCCCTTATATTGTTAGACCACTCCGAATTGGTAAATAATCTCTAGATCACCAAAAAAAAAAAAGATTAAACTAACTGGTAAAGTGTACTTTGGTTATTTTTTTATTGATTATTTTATTATAATATTTATTGATATGAATGTAGTAAAAAATGGTATAAATTATTTGTTTACGTAGAGAAAAATATCTGTAAGGTTAAATTATTGTAAAATTCATGTTGTAACGGGTGAGAGATATTTATTAGCAAGTCATGATCATCGTTCGATACCTTCGCACAAAAACCTAAGATTTAAAAAATACGATAATAAACTTTAAGATATAAATTGTATAAATTGCATTCCTCTTAACCTTTGAAAATTGTACTAGTAATAGTTCTCGAAGATTTATTTTTATGAGTTTACACTTTTTTTCTTTAAATTCTTATTAACTCCCAAGTATTCATGTGCTTGTCGATGATGTATTCAATGCCATTTAAGCCAAAAGGCATTCGAGGTTTGAAGACTTCAATATTCATTTTGGGTGTTAGAACCGTTCATCCAAAAATGTAACGTGTAACATTAGTTATAACATAAAATTTTGTAACATTAGTTATAACGTACAATTTTTAACCCTATAAATTCTATGTTTCTTTACCTATTCATACCATCCCAAAATACGTGTTTCTTTTCCAAACAATCTCACTACAGAACAACAAAACACGTTCCAATTTCATTGTTTAGAGATGGAAAACAAATCTCGAGTTCTCTTGTCTTTCGTACTGATCGCAACTTTATGTCTCGCTAATCTGACAAGGCCAGGTCTAGCGGATGTGCAACAACCACAACAATTTCCGAATCTTCCCGGAGTCTTACCTATTGATATTACGAAATGTTGGTCTATCTCTCGTAAAACATTCCGGGATGTATGGTAGAAATCACCACATCTATTCTTACAGGACAGTTTGGACATATCGGTCCGATGTGTTGTAAGGAATTTTCGGCTATAGAAGATAGTTGTTTGCCGAAGATGTTTTCTATGATTCCCTTCTTTCCTCAACTTCTAAAAAACAGTTGCTCTGGAACGGTTCCGCCTCCTCCTACAAACAAGTGATGTACTAATGAAGTTACCACATGATATAGTTTAGTTACTGGAGTTCATTTTCTTATGTTTACTCAAGAGTTTTGGTGGTTTTAGATTGTTATTTTCAAACGAATAAAACTTAAATTATATGTGAAAATCTCCATTCATTTTTAATGGTCATCTTTAAATTTGTTTGGCTTTAGTAATTTTTTATTTATAAATATCGCTAAATATCGTTTACACTCGATTTAATTTAACTATATGTATAACATAAGGCATATATATGATAAAATTTGTAAGATTTCTTTAACACAAATTCCTTGTTTCATCGTTAACGATATAACATAACACAAATAAATTTTGATTACACATTTCTCCATTTTAAAAGTTTCTCATTTGAAAACTAATAAAGATTACAAGATGATGAGATGGTTTCACCAAGAATCCTTTAAACCTTTTTATTTATATATACAATTTTCTTTTTATCTCATGTACTTAACTCTTTCAAGATAGACATGAAAAAAATAGTACTTAAAAAAGAAATAAAATAAAAAATAACTAAAATATATAATCGCATATAAATTCATTCAATTTTGTATATAAATATTAAATTTATATTAGCTATTTATAGTAAATATAAATTAATTAATTATTTTATGATAAATATATATGAATTTATCTAATTTCATTAGATTTTATATCAACGCATTTTAGAAAAATAATGTTTGTTAAGGTTGTGTTAAATAAATAATCCTATTTTAATACAATAATAATATATTTATGTATAAATGTGTGATTTTGATTTTTATATAAAAAATCTGAATTTGGAGATGAATTATGGAATGAGTTAATTACAATACATGTATGGTCGTGGATGGGAATGGAAAAAAAGTTATAAATCATGAACAAATATAATGATTAGTTGATAGGAAGAAAAAGGAAATACATTTTCAGTAAATTAATAAATAAATGCTCAATATATCTATACTATGAATATGTCACTTTTCTACTCTTTTTTTCCGTTGCTAATAGTTTTCATGTAAGTATTTCGTTTCGATAGAGGTGGATTATTTTTGGATTTTATTTTAATTTTTAAAAAAATTACATTTATTTATTTCTGTTTGAATTTGATTTTTTAAGTTAAAATCGATGTTATGATGAAAAATATTTATTTTATAAATTTTTTTTATTAGGATTTGATTTGAATAGGATACCATCTATACTGCAGCAAATTACGAGTGAGGGCATATATGGAAAAATGGATGACATTGATGGACTGAGCTGGAGAAGATCTCTGAATCCCAAGCACTGGATGGATAAATTGCAGACAACGCGAATGACCAAATTACCCTCATCGCGGACTTTGACAGGCAGAAGCCTTTTTCAACAAAAACCGAATCCTTTCTTTGGTCTCCGTCCTCTCCACTTCGCATTTTCCAAAGGATTTCATGGTCAAAAAGAGGGGTTTGAATGAGGGGTATAAAGGTAAAGTTCGTGATGATGATGATGATGATGATGTGATGATGACAAGTCCAACCCAAACAATATAGATAAAGATAAACCTGTGGCAAACATCATCTGAACTGCACATATACACACGCACCACTTAAAAACATCAACTTTTTCCTCTCTCTCTCTCTCTCTCTCTCTCTCTCTCTCTCTCACTCTCACTCTCTCTCCAACTTCATGTTTTACTCCTTCCCTGGGCCTCCCTCTTCACTGTTTTTTCAACCCATTCCTCGCAATTCCCCTCTCTAATCTCACTTTCATACATTAAAAAAGGGCAGTAGGTCAAATTCACAGAAATTCATCTATCCATCCATATATATATATATATATGTGCCCAAGAGTGTATGTACCTCTCAAAATCTCCAATGGCCCAGGTGGGCATATTAAAGGAAAAGGAAAGAATTAGGAAGGAAGAGGAGGAGAGACGTGCCTTGAAATGTCTGCCAACCAAAACCCACCTCACAGATCCAACCAAAATCACAATAAGTAAAAAAAAAAGGGAGAAGCTTCTTTCCTGTTTGGTCTGAAATGCCCTTCTGCAACACACAAGCGATAATGAAGCAAAAAAAAAAAAAAAAAGGGGGGGGGTTCTTTTCCCGTTTCCATCTTGAATCACTACTACTCCTAGTTCTGTTCTGTCTCAAGGTCTCTCCATAAAGAAAAGACATTTTTATTACACACATGAAGTTATGTGGTGGCTTCTTTCCTTTGGGTTTCTCTTTGGTCTTTGGTCAGAGTTTCCCAGAGGAAACAGGAAGGAATTACCCAAAACCTAATCCTTTCGCCTTCTCTTCATTCTCTCTTCCCCCCCCCCCCCTCTCTCTCTCTCTCTCTCTCTCTCTCTCTCTTCCTCTGTCTCTTTCATCTTTTTTTCCCCCAATCTCTTTGTTGGCTCTTGCGGTTCATCGTTCTTTGAGGAGATCCAACGAGGGAGATGAAGAAGGATTTTGCCTCTGCTGCGTCGCGCGAAGATCCCAGGATGAGATTCAAGCATGAAATCCTTTTGGAGGACTATCGAGAGTTGGAGAAGGTGATTACGTTTCTAGGGTTTTTGTCGATTTTTTTTTTATTCCTTTGTCTGGCTTCTTCTGGATCTGGTGATCTCTCTGATGAATTTGGGCAATCTTGTGTCTTTTTTGTAATCTGGGTTTGGAAAATTAGGTTAATTTAGAGCGATCAAAACGAGAAAAGTCTTCAACTTTCTTCCCTTTTTTTCTGGTTGTTTTCTCAGGAAAACGAGGTCAGGAGAAGGAATCTGGAGATGATGAAGCAGATAAGATCGACTCTCAGAGCAGAAGTGAGGTACAATATCTGTTCTTCACGTTATTACCTAACTGCTACGTGTTCTGAATTAGATATGTTAGTATCTGTTGTTGTTTCCATGATCCAAATTAGGGTTTTTTTAAGGTGATGCCTCGTTTGATCCATTCATGAACTTACAAGGGTCTTGAACAAACAACAGGTTCCTGAGGCAGAGATACAAACACTTGAGCAGAGACAGAGCTCATGAATTCCAACCGGAGAAGATGAGATTGCCGGAAACTGGAGATTTAAAGATTCCAAGTAAAGTTAACACCAAGAGGAAGAAGCAAACTGGGAAGGAATCACGTCTCGATTTGAACAAGAACGGTATAATGTACAGTGGGAAGGAAGATACAATGGCGTATTCAACTGGTGACTCGGGCAAGAAGCAAAAGAGGAACAGAGGAAACCATGGAAACGAGGTTTCGAGAACACCCATGTCGCTTCCCGACCTTAACCAATCAGATAGGATATGCAATGTAGACGGGAACACTTCTAGCAGCTGCAAAGTTCCTGTCTTTGACCTAAATGAGATCACTGTAAGTAAAAGGCCACAGCTTTTGTTCTTCCACGGCTTATGGCTTGTTGTGTATTGGCAAGTTGACAAATTTGTAAACCTTGCCCTTTTGGTTGTAGAGAGAAGAAGAGGAATCTCAGGCTAATGGCGAACAGATCGGTGTCGAGGACAGGAAGAACACAATGCCCGACATTGGGAACGATGAGTTGCAGGGTGAAATAAAGTTGGCAATTTGCAGAAACTTGAAGAAAGGGTTGAGTAGAGCTGGGAAGAGGAAGGTTTCATGGCAGGATCCTGTGGCTTTAAGGGTTTGAGTATATAGTTCTGTTAGTAGTGCTGGAGGATTCATTAAGCTTCCCGAGTTTCACCAATATGCATATACATTTAACATATGGGTCTGATTGATTGAATGATTATATATATATATATATATATATTAATATAGTCTCATAGTTGTTAATGAATCATCGCTACCTTCCTTTGAATTCTGATTTCTTTTCTGCTACTTCAAACCCATTTCCTAAATCTCGGTTCTGCAGCTATTGTAATGTAAAGAAGCATAGCGCATAGTTCATACTCCATAGCTGAAGACACCAAGAAAGACAGCAAACATGTTTCTTGATTGTGGTAGACTGTGTTTCCTGGATTGACTTCTTACAAGTTAATAGAGGAAAACATTAACAAGTGCTGCAATCACTACAGGCGCCAGTGCGATGGAAGCCGATTTTGTCATAGAAGCCATGGATCCGCTCTGCTTTGTGCCTGAAGGCGTTATCTCCTCCGTAAACCCCTTTCGCCCTGTTGAACCGATTCACGTCCACCCTCTCTTCCTCCTCAGCATTCCTCAACAGAGATCTAACTGCTTCTGAAACAATACAATTCTCATACAAAAAGGGTATTCGTGTATAGCGTATACGAATCCTTGTCAGATAACAAAGCAGAAAACTTGCCTTCTGAGTTGCGTTTCTGCTCTGCAGAATATTGATAAGAGAAGGGTCTCGACCCATTACAGAAAAGGAGAAGCTCGGTGGAAGCGTAGGCGATGAAGAAGATTAGGAAAAACCCTAGCGAAGATCTGTTCATGGCGGCCGAAAGCTATTTGCAGAGGGTGATATTTTCCTCAGATTTCTTGCAAGAACCTTACAAGGAGAAGTGGAATTTATAATAACAAGGCACAGAGAGAGAGAGAGAGAGAGAGAGAGAGAGAGAGAGAGAGAGAGAGAGAGAGAGAGAGAGAGAGAGAGAGAGAGAGAGATCTCTTTGAGGAGGGGACAAGAAACAAAGAGAACCTCAACTGTTTAACGACCAAAACATAACAAAAAGAGAATCTCAGGACAAGCAAAAGCAGTAGACATTGTCGAGTAACCATGACTTTTCTCTAACATTTTTTTTTTGGTTTACGACAAATCTAATTCCCGGTTCGAGCGGACCAATTGCAAAAATAACCTTAAATGATACATTGGACTTCATCACATACCCTTCATAAAAAAAAAAAAAAAAGACAACATCAAATATAACCTTATAAATATAGTTTCCCTATAATACCCTTTATTAATTTATATAATATAATAAAATAAAATAAAATTCTTTTGTATTTCTCTCTCCACCTCTCTCTCCCGCTTTGTCCACCTCTCTCTCTCTCTTGTTTTCTTCTTTCTCCACCTCTCACTCCATTGTCTCTCTCCTTTCTTGCGCTCTCTCTCTCATCTCTTCCTCTCTCTCTCTTTTGTCTTTTCTCTCTCACGTTTTCTCCTCTCTCCACCTCTCGCTCCATTGTCTCTCTCCTTTCTTGCGCTCTCTCTCCTCTCCTCCTCTCTCTTCTGTCTCTTCTCTCTCGTCTCTCTCTCGCTTTCTTCTCTCTCCACTTCTTTCTTGCTAATAGATAATTTATCATTTTAAAATATGTTATTCATTTTGGACATTTATAATTTTTGTTGTTTTTGAATTTATATTTGAACTATATGATATGGATGAGTCAAACAGATCAAATCGAGTAAATTCTCCAAACTGGGCAAACTCGCAAAGCTCATCAAAATAGTCATACTCATCAATCTGGTCTTACTCTTCAAACT